CCCCTTCCTCCTCTCCCTTCTCCTCCCCCTCCTCCTCCTACTCCTCGTCAGAGGAGTCCAGCGAGCCGACTCCTGGCTCACAGCGAAAGCCGCTTGCCTTTCAACAAGGAGGGCCGGCTGCTTCCCTTCCTGGACAATCGCGTGTGAAATTTGTACCGGCAAAACGAGCTCGACTGCTTCACAGGGGCTAGTCCATTCCCTGTGCAGTGTCCTAAAGCCTACCCCTGTCTGATTCCTTCCCAATTCTGGCAGCTGGGTGATGACGCAGGAGCGCGAGTAAAGATGCTGCCTTGTGGTCCTCTTGACAACTGACTACTCTCACAGATACTCTGACGTTAAAATCAATAATGTAGTCGCTAATGACCTTGAAGTGAATGCGACCTTAATTAAATAAGTAAAAGAGACAAGACCTCCAGCCCTTGACTAAGCACATATGATCCTGATCTTTACTCCAGGCCAGTTCCGATAAACTTCTCTAAAAGACGCTTCAGCCTACGTTCCAAGGACGAATCAAGCTGCTATTTTCTTCAGTCGCAAGGGGGCTCCAGTCCAGAATTCAAGCACATACCTCCTTGTTCTGTAACCCAGTATTGTTTCCAGAGGCCCCTGTAGGAAGCTCCAGCCTACGATCCAGGACATATTGACCTGCTCCCTTTCTCAGTCGTCTTAAACGGCTACTATCCAAGCACATATTGCCTTGATCTCTACCCCAGTTCTTTTTCCAAAAGACTTTCCTGTAAGAAGCGCCAACCCACGCTGCTGGACATATCCTGCTCCCCTTCCTCAGCCGTACTATAAGAGGTCTCCTGCCTACGATCCAAGCACATATAATCTGCACCCTTTCTCGGCCCTGTTCCAAGAGGTCCCTTTAGGAAGCTCCAGCTCACGATTCATGATGTATCACCCTGCTCGCTACCCCAATTGTTTTCCATGTGACCTCTCAGTAGGACGCATCATCCCACCAGACAGGCACGTATATCCCAGCTCTCTTACTCAGTCATATTACAAGAGACCTCCAGCCCAGAATTCAAGGATATTTCGCCGTACTCTCATCCTCACTCGTACTAAACGCCCTTCCAGTATGAATCACCAGCTCACGGCACAGGCACGTACATCCCTGCTATCTATCTCGGTCGTTCTCCCAAGGGAGCTACCAGCCCAGGCGCATGTTAACCTGTTCTCTACTCCGGACGTAATAGAGACACAATAACTCTGTGGCGTGTGGTTGTCACCTGTCGCGCTCCAGCTCCAGGTTGTTGATCTGCTTGCGCTGTCTGCGCGCGGCCACCACGTGCACGTCCAGCTCGTCGGCCGTGGCTCTGCGCGCCTGCTCCTGCAGCCGCAGCGTCTGCGCCTGCTCAGCGCTCACGTCTGCGCATAAATAGTAAATAATTAACATATTTCTGGAGTGTTTATGTTTCCACGATGCAAATTATTGCATATAAACTATTTTGTCAAACCAACTTTTGAGTGCTTTTTGTGGCTCATCGATTCGGAATATCCCCGGAATTTAGCAAAGAAAATGTGCTTAAAATCGTCTGAACAGCTTATTTTCAAAGTTTCGACATTTTCTTGCTGAACAGCCTGTATGATTTTGTGAAAATCATCTATAATGTCCAGAACCGTTTCATAACATTTCCTCGTCAAACTCGAACGTCGAATATCCACGGAATTTAGCAGAGAAAATGTGCTTAAAACTGTCTAAAAAGCTTATTTGAGTGCTTTTTGTGGCTCGTCGACTCGGAATATCCACGGAATTTAGCAGAGAAAATGGGCCTAAATGGTCTGAAAAGCTTATTTGAGTGCTTTCTGTGGCTCGTTGACTCGAAATACCCATGGAATTTAGCAGAGAAAATGTGCTTAAAATTGTCTAAAAAGCTTGAGTGCTTTTTGTGGTTCGTCGACTCGGAATATCCACGGACTTTAACAGATAAAATGGGCTTAAATGGTCTGAAAAGCTTATTTGAGTGCTTTCTGTGGCTCGTTGACTCGGAGTATCCACGGAATTTTGCAGAGAAAATGGGCTTAAAATTTTCTGAAGAGCTTATTTTCGAAGTTTTGACCTTTTCTTCCTGCACAGCCTGTATGATTTTGTGAAAATCATCTATAATGTACAGAATCGTTTCATAACATTTCTGCATCAAACTCGAACGTCGAATATCCACGGAATTTAGCAGATAAAATGGGCTTAAAACTGTCTCAAAATCTTGAGTGCTTTTTGTGGCTCGTCGACTCGTAATATCCACGGACTTTAGCGAAAATGTGCTTAAAATTGTCTAAAAAGCTTGAGTGCTTTTTGTGGCTCGTCGACTCGAATATCCACGGAATTTAGGAGATAAAATCGGTTAAAAGTATCTGAAACGCTTATTTGAGTGCTTTTTGTGGCCCGTCGACTAAATTATCCACGGAATTTAGGAGAGAAAATCGGCTTAACAGTATCTGAAAAGCTTATTTGAGTGCTTTTTTGTGGCTCATCGATTCAGAATATCCACGGAAATGAGCAGAGAAAATGGGCTTAAAACTGTCTGA